AGAACCTTTCAGTTATGAGTCGTTCGATACAATTCAGCACGACTCCTGCATCCTACCCGGAACCTGACGATTAACTTAAGCCTTTCGTCAAGCCACAATTATAAAATTCTTTATATACAAGCTTATATGTACAGAAAACAACAAACTTGCATACTGTTCATACAAGATTATATCACTGTGTGAAAAGCATTAAAGATGAAATCTACTACTAATTTACCCGTCTACAAACAAACAAGGAACATAAAATAAATCCAAGTTTATAACATGGGAATCACGCGATATGCAGTGACCAACGCATTCAGCCACTTTAAAAATTATAAAATACAAGACCGAAGAATCCCTAACTACAGAAGGTTACCTAGCAAGCAATGGAAATTGCTACTGAACGGAGATCGAAAGGGCGAAGTCCCAGTCCTAGAATTAAGTCAACATCTGAACTTCAAACAACAAGATCATGGTCGTCGCAGCAAGAAACAGTCATGCAATTCAAATTCAAATGAAAACTCTTTCGAAAACTTGCAGGATTATTTTTGGACAGTAGGATGGAAGAGTGAGAATAGTATTAACAAGAATATTAGGGTTTCAATGAAATCACCACATGGAAAAGGAAAGCTACGTTGGCGGCGTCTTAACAACAGTCATCGTAACAGTGGAACCATTCAATCTTCTGCCACTCAACAACATTACTGCTTTCGTAGCTTCCTTAAAAAGGCTTCAATTAATGGACACTAAAAAACTAAAGAACAATCTGACGAATGCAGTATTTCTAGAACTCTCGACTGCATCCGAGAAGTCGGGAGTAGAAAAGAATCAAACTGACCTGGGGGGACCCTACTGCAAGTAAACATTCTCCTGTTGGATTCCCACTATCATCCAATTTAATCCTGACCGAATTTTCTACTAACGAATATTTATCGAAGAACTGCATAACGTCATTTAGTGTAACATCAGGAGGAAAACCGTGACAACTAATCACAGTTCCTGGTGGGCCCACCGACGCAATGACATCCGGCTCTATCTCTTTCTGAAAAGAAAAAAAGAAACATTAACTGCATTCAACTAACAAAATACCACTGGTTCCCCATATTATTTCGGAGCTTTTATAGCTGGTGCGTACGCATAAACTACACTACCGTCAAACATTCAATATTTTTTCAAACCTATTTTTCAAAAACATTCATACACCCTGAAATATAACCAATAAAAATGCTACAAAATTCAAAAATGAATAAATAAAAACAATAACCGATCTACTGGTAATAAAAGCACTATCCGTAACCACCACAAAACACCAACCTCCGCTTTAAAAAAAATAACAAATAGCATATAGTTACCTGTTCATTAAACGCCACTTTCTTTTCAAGGCCTTCTACCATTTGCTCACGAGTGATTGCAGTGACTAAAATACAGTTATTTCCCAGCTGCTGCCTGTTACAGCGAGATGCAGCTCTCGACGCATCTTCAACACTTGCTAAATCAATATATACCGAGCCATCTAGCATGCGCCTTCTTGTTTCTAAGGAATTAAATGATTAAGTAAAGCTGACTCGTGAATAATTCAAGCAAGACGTATTCAAATATACGTACAAAAATTACTTTAAACGAAAAAATCAAACGCTAAAGCAATTTCACATACTATCATTAATTCTCGATATATGGATCCGAAGAAACTGCGCTAATTCACTATCTGTAGCTGTGTCTGGTACATTTGCAAGCACAACACATGGCCTTTTTGGGACAGAAGCAGTAATTGGTCCGTTTGTAAGACGCTTCCCACTACTTCTAGGCCCTACTGACGCGTTCGCATTCAATGGCAAGAACTGCGAAGGAAAAGAATGAGCAGGAGGTCCACGCTGCTTTATATTTGACGAAGGCGCCACACCAAAAAATGAAGGCGGCGGAATTAAAGGCGGTCTCGGAGCACCTAAAGGTGAAAAAGTCATATCTGATGAAATAGCAAACCACACTCAAAGCATTCTACAATGATGGGATCAGGAATCACATACCACCTCTGCAACAACGCGCTTTTTTACTATGATAAAAAAGACGTGCTAAATTAACAACCTTGTAAAAGAGGCCCATTTGCACGAGGATGACGAGGCCCTGCAAATCTTTGTGAGAGTCCCGTAGGTTTCTGTGAGTTGCCAGTTTGTCCCAATTGGTTAGTTTGAAATCGGGGCCTCACGATATTTGAGGAAATGTTATGTCGGAGTCCAGTTATACCCGGTGGTCCACCCAAAAGACCAGCAAAGTCCTTAGAAGGACCTTGACTACAGTGACTTTTAGGATTATGCCCGTCACGTCCCTGACCTGCAGCTCCACGAGATTAAAACAAACAAACTCATTAGGAAACTAAAGATAATTACAAATGTGAGCAAAACTCACCAGAAAAAAATACATATAATACATAAAATATAATATTTAATATATAATGTCATACATAATACACAATATATAGTATGTACTATATAATATATGATATATAATATATAATATGTAATATATAATATATAATATGTAATATATA